TGTGTGTGTGTGTGTGTGTGTGTGTGTGTGTGTGTGTGTGTGTGTGTGTGTGTGTGTGTGTGTGTCTGTCTGTGTGTGTGTGTGTGTGTGTGACTTACAATCATCGCGGGGAAGAGGCATCTAATCATGGGCGACGAGATAATGAATGGTAAGAGTAAAGAGTTCCTTCCACTTCTTCTCCTTATTGCGTTGGGTATTATGATCCATCACACCATTTCTGACGAGTCTCCATCCACTTGACGGTGAACTCCCGCAGGCGTACTCCACACCCCCGAACACCAGCCAACCACAACAAACACCACATCCATACACGGGGGTAACGTTTGCTCGACTTTCAGCCATCTGCTCACTATCAGCTGCTGCTGCTGCTGCTGCTGCTGCTGCTGCCGCTGCCGCCGACGCTTCCACTGCTGCTCCCCCGTATCTGCCCGCTCGGACAATCCTCCTCTTTCTTCGCCAGAGGCGAACACATCCCCATCCCCATTCCCACACTCTACATTTCCCCCCATCCCCAAACAACCTAAGACATCATCATAGTTACTCAGATCGCATTCACCTACCGCCTCAAAGAACTCGTCATTATCTTCATCCGACGTGTCTGCGCCGCCGTTTGCCAACATCCCTTCTCCCTTCTCTTCGTCCGTCTCCGACGACGGCGTGCCCTCCCCATCCCCATCCTCCATTGGCGTAAATACCTCGCTTGTGTCTATCGTCATCGATCTCGATCTTCCGCTCCTCTCCCTCTTCGGCATGCTCTTCTTCCTCAACGTCTCCCCAACCACCACCGTGGACTCTAGCTCCAGTTTTTCGACCTCCAAGTTGCGCAACGCCTTCTGCAATGACTCTCGCTTTGACGACTCCTGTTCCAATCTCATTTGCCAGATCATCATCTCGGACTTCACCATCTCTTCACACTTTGCGACCACGTCCTCCGCCACCGACGCATCCAGAAGAGTCATCCTGACGCTTTCCAGCGTCTGCTTGAGCGAATCGTCCAGCTCTCCCAAGGGATATCTGCGATCCAGACTGCGGAACCTCTCCTTGGCGATCTGTAGGTGCTCCATCCAGTGCGCTCTGTCCTCCCTACCCTCGGCGATCAAATGCATGGTCTTGCTGCCCGTGCAGATGTAGAACTTTTTGTCGTCGGACTGGGATTCCCTCAGATTGGCGAACTGGAGATGGACTTGGCCTTGCCACTTGGCGGTCTTGAACTCGCGCGTGTATTCCGCTGACTCCACCCCCGAGATGGAGGACATCCCAGAGGCAGTTGAGACCGCGTTCATGCCCGTTGCCAACGTGGCAGCCCCCCACAGGCCTTGCTGCTGCGCCGCCTTAGCCAGCTTCTTAAGGTCGGTAGAAAATCCCGTTGTGGAAAGCTGCTTCTCCTTCCGCTCCATTTTCAGCGCCTCCTCTCCTATTGTCAAAAGCTCGCCCCTCCTCATCTTCTCCAAGCTGATATTGACCTTCTCAGGCCCATGCACCTTGTAGTAATAGAGGACACCCTTGTCCAGGACGAACCAGCGCGGACGATAGCCTCGGCCGAAGTTAACCCACTTGTACAGAATCCCCGCCACCTTGGGTCTCCCCTCACTAGCGCTGCCCCCCGCGCTATCTCCGCCGGATCCCCCGTCGGAAACGCCCAGCGCCGCCATGGCGCCGTTCTCCTGCGGCTCCACAGGATGAAGCCTTTCCCCAGCCCAGAATGATCTGTTGCGAGCAGAGAGGGGTTCCGCGCTCGCGGCGACGACACTCTTTGGGCGCACCTCGCCGGGTGGAGACCTCTCCCTTCCCCCCCCACCACCACTTGTTGCTCCCCCGTCTTCGCCCCCGATTCCCCGCCAACTCCCGTCTATTACCGCGGGCATCGCCGTCGAATTGCCATTCATGTCGACGGAACTTTTGCGCGACAGCTGAAGACTGTTTCGTCGGGAGCCCGCGGACGACGAGGCCGCGGCAGTTGCCGCGGCGCACGCTGCGGCGCCTCCCGGTGGACGCGAAGAGTTGGACGACGACATGCTCCCCGGAGGGAGCGGGGGAGGCGGCCGCGCGTGGCTCGGTGTGCGGACCGGAGGCGTCAAATCCCCCGACATCACGGACTTATTAGACTTGTGATGCGATTTGGCAACTGCCGACGACGACGTGGAATCGGGATCCGTCGCCATTTCAGATGCTGCGGGGGTCTTTGACCTCTCCTTTTTCCTGCGCCCCTTCTCCCCCCTGCTCGCCACGCACCCCACGCTTGCGCTATCGGTAGGGAGACACCCCACATGGCCCACCGAAGTCATTCCCAAACCCGTTGCAAAGCGGCCGCCACCCTTGGTTCCCCGGCCGGCGACGCGGCCGCATTACCCCGCCAGGACCCCACCCCGCTTTCCCTCACCTCCTCAGCCACGCCACGTGGCCTGTTTCTAACGCGCATTCTCGTCCCAACATCCTCCTTGCCCCCTTCTTCCCCTCGTCACATGCTGTGCCGCTTCCAATCACTCAACAACATCGTCACCACCCCCTCGTCCCCCGCGCAGAATCGGTAGGGGGGGGGTACTCTTCTGACAGCGCAGGGAATCGTGTGGATTGTTCGTGGAGGGAGGGAGTCCGCCGCAGCTAGCAACCGTCCGATCCGAAGAGCAGGCCCAGGAGAGAGTGACAGAAAGACACGGATACCAGAACAGAAGTGCAGACAGCCGGAGACACAGAGAAACGGAGAAAAGAGAAAAGAATAGTACATATGCTACACCACTCCAAAAACAGCAAACTACGGAACCAACCCCAAAGGAAGACAGGCGGGCAGCCAGACAACCCGACAGACAGACAGACAACTAAGCAGATGAGTGGGGAAACACGGAGAGAGAGAGAGAGAGAGAGAGAGAGAGAGAGAGAGAGAGAGAGAGAGAGAGAGAGCGGGCAGGGGGGATAAGAAACGAGCAAAAGAAAGGAGAGTGGACGGATGACAGCGGAGCGCACGAAGGAGGGAAAGAAAGAGGCAAAGACGGACTCAGAACTCGCAGAGTAAGCTGTTATCCGCCAGAGATCGAGTCCAGCCAATCATGACATCGCCAGCCAACAAAACAACAGAACCCCCTCCCATGTCCCGGGCTGTTTGACGGGACCTGGCCGCGTCTCCACGGCCTGTCCCGTTCTATTTCTAAAATTGAACTTAATTTCGGGGCGCCAAGGTTTTCTTTCTTCTACCGTAGGGCAGGCCCGCCCAGCGGATGGCCGGCCCTCCCGCTACCAGTCCCCGTCCCCGTCTCCTCTACTACTGTTCCATCGTCGTCTTCCTCTTCGCCCCTGACGCACCTGCTGCCCACAGCCGTACCGTGACGCACGAGAGCAACCGAGCAACCGAGCGAGCGGGAGAGCGACAGAGCCCCTCCCATGCGCCAGCCAACCGAGCAACTTTGCGGCCACGCGAGCCCGGCGGGCGAACGGCCCGATGCCTGTCTCTTATACACATCTAGATGTGTATAAGAGACAGGTGTGTGTGTGCGCGCGCGTGGTTCTCCTTCTCCCACACAGCTATCCGAAGTAGTGCCACTAGCGGTAGGATGCTCTCTCTCTCTCTCTCTCTCTCACTCTCTCTCTCTCTCTCTCTCTCTCTCTCTCTCTCTCTCTCT